TCATATTACTTGGTAACCCTAAGTCAATATACCTAATAGTCATTGTACTTGGGGCATAATTTGATACTTTTGACAAGTGATCCTTGACTTGTTCAAATGATTGGATCCCCTTAAAAAATATAACTTTTACGTCCCTACCGTCATAAAAAATACTTCCATTATTAGATTTCTTATTGAAAAAACCACCAAAGTGTAAAACGATTTTCACTTTGTTCTCACCCATTATTGTTGCATACAAACTGAATCACTGCATAGAAATTTCTGATGGAAACATAAATAAAATACTTATAAGAAGTTCAAAATACTTACAAATAGTGAGGAGGTTGCATGAGGGACATTAGATTGTAATACAAATGTCATAATCAAAAATAAAAAAAAATAAATGCCCGACCAAACTACATCAACTATTATAGGAAAACATTATTTTGATGGCCAACCATTAAATAAATTTAAACTTTTTTATGCAACAATATAAATAAATCTAATACTTATTTATGCAACATAATATATTTTTTAGAAGTTAAAAACAACATAATATTTTGATAACATACCTACAAATCAGTTGGTGTGTAAATTTGATCCTCATAGAGACCTCCTTCAAAGATTGATAAATAATAGATGATATGATAGAAAATACATGAGAGAGATAAAAAATGGATGAGAGAGATAAAAAAATGATGAAAGTGCTCAACAATTCGTCAAAATAGGGTTTTATGAAAAAATTGGTAAAAAAAAAAAAGCGGGAAACAATTGCGGTATTTTATTACCGTATAAAAGTTTGGAAGTATTACGGTACTACGAATACCGTAATTCATTGTAAAAACAATACGGTAACCATATTACCATAATAATTTTATTTATTAATATGGTTTTCCCATTACCATATAGAGAGCCACTAAACATTACGGTATTAAAAATACCGTAATGAGTTTTACGGTACAAAGACTATCATCGTAAAGGGTAGTTTCATCCAAAATTTTGTGAAAATGGGGAAAAAGGGTGCGGGTAAGGTTTTGACAGTTGGGGTTTTTTTTCAATTTTTTTAAAATATAGGTATACTATCGATAATTTTCTTAGAAAATAAAGTAATTAACTATTATTATTTACTGTTAAATATTAATGATTAGCATGGAAAATGGATAAATATGAATTATTGATATATAATAAAATGTTTGGAAACAAAAATATCTATTATAATAAAATGTTCGTAAACAAAAATTGTGATTTGATCTATTAGCTTGATGGTGACGTACTTCTAGTTTGTAACGTTCTTTGGGTGTAGTTTAGTAAGACTTAATCACTCGGTAAGATTAATATTCTTACGAAATGCATGTCGTTAATGTAAGTTAAAAATAAATAAATTACGACTTCTTCTTTTTTTGGCTGATTGGTGGGAATACAAGCCCCTACTCATTTTAGAATAGTTAGTGGTTTTCTAATGCGTGAGAATAGTTTGTGGTCTTAGGAGAGAATGATAAGCTCCCTGTTTTTTGCGAATTGGAAGTCTTTTGTGCATGTTAAGCGGATTTATTGCGCCAAAGACTTTTAAATCATATTCTTTCGTCTTTACTATCAATTTGAAAAGGAAATTTCGTATAAAGTCCAAAAAAATATTCCAAAGGAGGCCCACATAAAATTTTCAACCTGAAGCTGGAAAAGAGCAAATGAATATCCACTCCAACTTTTTTACTTCTAACCAGTGGTTTAAAAATGGATCGGTTACTCGGATCGGGCATCCCAAAAATCGATTCAGATAGACGAATCGGCGATCCGGATCGAGAATCGGGCCGAATCACTCGGATTAAGCCTTAAAAAAATTCAAAAAAATATTAAAATTCATTATAAATGTTGTTTTTTACGAATCCAATAAGAAATGGGGATACTACATTATTAACTTTCATTGTTTTCATCAATTTATGAATATTGAGATGTTCTTCCCTATATAAACTTATGTTGACCATTAAATTTACATCACACAACAGAAATCATAGAATTATTATCGATTAATTATATAATCATATATGGACTACAATAAAGAGTTGACTAAATCGATGAAAATTTGGCCACTAAAATCTCGAATTGGCGAAAAACACTAATCCGCTAAAAAAACCCAAATTATTACAACCTAACTAACTATAATATTATATACCAAGAATATTTTATAATGATTTTATTATATAAATAATAACAAATCCAAAATATTTTATAATATCAACTAATTTAAAATGTATTATTGACAACTGTAAGAAAAATAGTACACTACATGATTTGTAATACAAAAATTAATAAATAAAATAAAAGATTTGGTTATCAATGTAGAAATTATTAGAATGCGTACCAATATTTTTTAATTTTTTAGGTTTCTAGAATAAATTAGTAAAAAAATTGTTAGCAGAAAGAGAGCTTTCAAACTGCCTCATTGTATGAATCCTATCTTTAAATTAATATTACTAAATTTATGTTAAAGACTATCATGTTATAAAAATAAAAAATATAATTAAACTATTTATTCCTAGGTTGTATTAAGAAATACCTGTTATTTTTTTGACAAGAAATACTTATTGTGTTATCTTTTTTTTTTACAAGAAAAATATGATACTTGTTGATTATCTTCTTCTTCTTTTTTGACAAAAGAAGAAGAAGTTGGATTGCATTTTTTTTTTCTTCTTGTATTACTTTTTATGTTTTTTTACAAGAAAAAAAAAATTTGATGCTGCCAAAGTACATTTTATTTTTTTTATGCCTTTTGTTTTCTTTTTTTTGCAAGAAATACTTGTTATATTACCTTGTATTTTTTTTACAAGAAAAATAAAAAAAAATGTTGTATTATATTTTTTATCTTTATCTTGAAAAGTTTTTTATTTTTTATTTTTTCTAATTTTTTACAACAGTATTTTCTGCCTTCGTTTATTTTTGTTGTCAAAAAAATTTTTTATGCCTTTTGTTTTATTTTTTTGCTAAGAAATACTTTTTATATTTACCTTGTATTTTGAAAAACTTTTTATTTTTTATTTTTTAAAGTC